ATGTTTATTATAATTATTATTTATTTTTATTATTAAAAATGATCTACATTTCACCCAATAAAAAATCCTTACATATAATTTTTTATAAGTGTGCTCAACTATGTTTGTGTTTATACTGATGTGTAACACCCCAATCCCTCAACTCATCTATATAGTTGTTTTCAAAAAATTCTATTTTTAAATGTTTTTAATGATCCAAATTACATGAGTAAAACTAATATCACTTACATGTACCTTGATTAAAAATGGGCATTTTCTTTTGGTATTTAATAATATGGTTATTATTCACTTAAAATTTATTATTTCTATTTATTTTTATTAATACATTATAGAAAATTTTATATGTTTTATTAGTGATTAGCAAAATGTCTCTAACTTTACAAGTTTTTTTTGAAATAACCATCTAACTATAAAAAAATTTTTATTACTATATGATTGTATATATGCTGAAAATGGATTTTGTGTTAATTTCCATCTCACGAAAACTAGTTTTTGGTGTAGTTGCGTATGAAGCAAGTGATTTAAAAGAGGTTCGGGAATTATTTATCCTTGCCGATCATTATATAAAATCACATGACTACACTCTACCCTTAAAATTTTGTTTTTGTAAAAGATCTTCAAGCCAATAAAATTTGATTTTTGTGTGATTGTTTGGAGGGTGATCGTCATAAAATTTAGCCAATGAAATCAAAATCACAATGTGATAAACGAATGTCCATTATGCTAGTTTTTGCAGTAAAAAATTCGTAATTTTGAACTTTCTTCTGCTGAAATTTTTTTAGGAATTTCTTCCAACTTGGGTGGGCCCTAAAAGAAAACGAATGCAGGGGAAAAGGTGGAAAACATATGCCTGACAAATACTCCCACAAAAAGAAATTCCGGCAAGAATAAATAGAATACTCATATAATTCAAGGAGAAGAAATTTCTCTTCTCATTGGAAAGTTACCTGCAAATATTCTATGAAAAATTGGAACAAAGGATCTCCGCAAGAACTTGAAATCCATCTCGCAAATAATTGTCCATCTATACCACCAGAAACTCGCGAGATTTTTTTAGATATAGTTATCAATAAAGTTGGGAATTATAAATCATCAAAAAAAAACAAAAACTTTGACACAAGAAAAATCAAACAAAAATCACCGATTTTCATGAAAGTTTAAGCAGAAACAAGTTATTAAGTTTCGACTTTTGTTTCTCCAAAATAGTTTCGTTGCTAATACCAAACTCTATTTACTATACACTTATTGTTTATGTAATGATATATATTTATTACAGCACTAACAGCCAATATGAGAGCTTCCTTTATCACAGAACTGTGTGTATTATATTATTATTATTATGTATTATTTCTGATTTTAGCGATTTGGCGATACTAATTTCGCCCACAGCATTAGTATCTTATGAAAATAATCAATTCATTATTGAGAATAAATAATCTTTTCGTTGACAATTGTCTTTTGGAAGTAGTGGAGGAAACAATATTGTATGTATTTTATTAATTTCTGTCTGATTTATTTATTGTCACTTTTATTATTCAAATCACGTGACTATACTCTATTCCATAAAAATTTTTCAAATGACGTGTTTGTTTTAGTGTAAAAATATACTTTTTAAATTATCAAGAATAATAATCTCAAAAATAGCCGTACACTAGCAAAGAAAAACCATATAGATCATCTCATTTACTGATACACCAAAGCCTTTTGTTTCATGTAACGAACTAGTTTTCGTCGGTCACCTTTCATATTTGAAGTTATTTTTTCATAGAAATTTTAATATTTTGAAATCTCTTCACTATTTATTTAGACAAATTATTATCAACAAAAAAAATCATCTATTAATACCCCTGTCTGCATACCAAATGATTGTATACTTGGCTTGCATAAATGTTATTAAATAATAAAGGAAACACCAATTTAATATGTAACATTGATTAATAATATGATGCAATTAAACTACTTGCAAACAACAGGATAATCTAATTGGTGATAACAACTACGCCGATATCTGAGAAATCAGCAAATTTTTTGTTAGATTTCTTGGGGATAAAAGTGACTGATGATGAATAGGGAGGTTCTTTAATTGTTGGTTTTAAATATTGTTATACATATCTCTTTTTTCCCTGTCATAGGGATTAGTTATTAATCCATTTCATCTAAGATAGATTTGGCAACTAATAAGGTTTTTTTCTCAAATTAATTCCATTAATAAGCACTGCATAAATTTTAGCCATATTATTGACAGATGACATCATTGACTTTATATATTAGCCATTTAAGGGTTCACTATTATAAGGAAATCATGTGATTTATGGCGCTCCGTTATAGACGTGTATTTAAAACCAAATTCAGAAACTTATTTATTTTATTATTTTATTTATTCACGATAATAGAAATAGTTGCTCAAATTTTCTCAATTTTCAGGAGGGTAGAAAAGAAGAAACACACGCACGCACACACATATCAATGAAAAAAACATCATTTGGGTATTAAAATGTTGATTATTGGCTCATTTTAATTCAAATATTGTTGATTTTTTGTAAAATTTAATTATTTACTTTATTTTTTGATTCAGATTCATAGATTATAATGTGGAAGAAGAAGATGATCATGGTGAGGAAAAGACACTTGGACAAAGTAATTATAGAAAAAATTCTTATGATAGAAATGTGAATGGTCAAAAAATAGTTACAAGAAAAGGATATTTTGACAATTATACTCCTGAATATTTTGGTAATAATTTTTTGAATTATGATACAAAAGAGCATAATATAAATTGGAATGATGATGATGATATTGATGATGATATTGATGATGACGGTGATGATGATGATGACGATGATGGCGATGATGATGATGACGACGACGATGATACTTCTAATGATCCTAATGATTCTGGAGATGAAACAATGTTTTCTTTAAATGTTTTTGAAGGTGACATTGATCCTTCAATTAAACTATCTGCTGAAATGCAAAAAGAAAGGAAAAATTGGCAAAGTTTTTTATCATCCGTGTTAACTGGTGAAGTTATAATGACTGAGAAACAAAGGATCTCTAGCTCTAATTCTCATCAAAATGCAAATAACTTTTACCAAATTTGGTTAGAAATTCGGGCTACCACTCATAATCATTCACTCTCTGAAGAAAAACAAATTTTGAATGAAAAAAAACATCAAGTTGATGCCGTACTTAAAGAAATAATCAATTTTCAAGTTCGACCCGGTAATGTTCCAGCTCTTGATCAAGTTGCAGTATTACTTCAAAAAGTTGACGCCTGTGAAAGTCTTTATCCATCGAGGAAGGTAATGATGTCTGAAAAACCCCTATACAAATCAGAGAGATTTCAACATAGCATAGATGCATTGAATTCATGGTTAACAATAACTAGGAGCTTACAGGATCAATTGAAAATTCTGCAAAATTGGACTGGCAGCGAAAATTTAGAGATTACAAGACCAAAAGATTCTCCAGCAGATGCAGAAAATCCTTCTTTCTTGGAACGAATATTGAAAGAAAATAGTTTAAAACAAACATTTGAAAAAAAAATACTTTCCACATTGAATTCACTTTTATCAAAAGCTAAGTGTATAATGATTGAAAATGCTGATACATTTGCTAAAATGAAATTACCTTCATATATCAATAAGTTACAACAACTTTCGCATTTTCCTACAAAATTTATGGAAGAATGTATGAAATTATTACTTGAAATCTCTGGCCACTTAACAGATCCAACATTGCTCATGATTCAACAGAGAATGGATGACTTTCGTATTTCTCTTATTTTGGCTTGTCAAATTAAACATCAATATTTAGAATTAATAAAACCTGAACCTGGTTGGGAAATCCCACAACTCATTGATGAAAATTATAATACCGTATTGTTGCAATCTTTGAAATTTTATTTAAGATTGTTGCAATGGAAATTTAAAGGTGGTTGTAAAACTGTATTTTTTAAAGAAGTTGAAATATTAGAAAATGAATGGTTATTTTTAAGTGATATTTCACGTGATATTGCTGGTGGTGATATTGTAGTTGCAGAACAATTTTGGTAATAATTTTCAAATAATTTTTTTTATAACTAAATTAACAACAATAATAATATATATATATAAATATTATTTATTTATAGTATTCTTACCAATAGATTACATCAAAATGTTATAACTTATTATGAATCGAACCTTGAATTGCCAAAAGATATTGATACGGCAAACCTTACTAAATGGTATAATAAAATTTTGGATAGTATACGTTTAAGATGCCGCAAAATAATCCGATTTGCAAAGTATGTATTATTTATTGTTAACTAAACAAATTATCTCTTTAATATATAAATATTAATTACAACTTTACTAGTAGGTTTTTGTTTGGAGAACTTGAAAATGCAGCGGAATATTTTATCGATGATGATAATTTTCCAAGCTTTATAAAAAGTTTAGAAAATACAAATCATGTTCTTATTTATCCAGATACTTTCACGGAAGATAACATATGTTTTATTGCTGAGCAATCTCTTAATGACCGACCAGAACAAATTAAAAAGTTACTTGAATCTATACTCACACCATATGATAAGCTTAATTATGAAGAAGAGTTGAAGGATACTGAATATGTACTTATTTTGTCACCAAGAGTCTCTTTTGAATGGAATGGCCCAATAATGACAACCTCTTTTGGTCAATTAAATATTGAGCTTAGAAATCATCGTACAAGACTTGTTGCTAATGGTTCTTATGCTCGATTGCAAGCATGTAAACAAAGGTTTCATAGTGCAGTTGAAAACTGTGATATCAAAATAATAACAGAGACATGTGTTAACGTTCCAAACGTGAATCATGAGGTTGCAAAAGCCAAAAAAACTATAATAAAATTAGTTAAGATGATTATTGATAGTGTCAAGAAAATCCGTGAAATGACAAAGAATCTTCAATCTCAAGATCTAATCGAAAATTTTTTCAGTTTTGCAACTGAAATAGGTCAGCGATGTATTAGATATATGCATAAAGATGCTGCACTAAACCAACTAAATATAAAGCTAACACATATGGCTATTGACTGGGTTAGCTTCATATGTGATGATTGTATTCCCAACGATCGTAAAACTTTTCGATGGGCTGTCATAGCTCTAGAATTTGCTATGGTAGCAAATCATGGAAGCAATATTTTTGGTTTAAGTGAGGAGGCATTTTCTTTACTTCATAACAAAGTAGCTAAATGTATGATTTTATTAATTTCACATGTGGACATTTTGGGGGCGAAATCATCTCATGAAACAATAGAAGAAGAAAAAGAAGAAGGGTACGAAGAATATTCAAAACCACATAGTGCGATAAAATACAAAAGACCCAATAATATGTTTTTAAATAGTATTGAAGATTCATTGAATATTCGAAAAGAATGGATTGCTTCTTTGAATGAATTGGAAACAAGAAGATCACAAAAGTTACAAGATCAAAGACTCATTGGAAAAGTTCTCGAGGATCAACCTGAAAACCGACCACTTGTATTTTTAGCCTCCTCAAGTTCCAACATTTCACTACGTTGGCAACAAGGCAAATTCATAGGCGGTGGTACCTTTGGTTCAGTTTATTTGGCTGTTAATTTGGATACTAGTGACCTAATGGCAGTTAAAGAAATACGTTTTCAAGATCTCTCATATTTTTCATCTTTATACAAGTCAGTTAAAGAAGAAATGTCTGTTTTGGAAATGCTTGATCATCCAAACATTGTTTCGTATTATGGTATTGAAGTGCATCGAGATAAAGTATATATATTTATGGAGTATTGTCAAGGGGGATCACTGGCATCTCAATTAGAACATGGTCGTATCGAAGATGAAAATGTAATTAGATTTTATGTAGTGCAAATGTTGCGAGGTCTAATATACCTACATGAAAATAATATTATACACAGAGACATTAAACCTGATAGTAAGTCATCATTTTATATAAAATTTCTTAATGTCATATTATGGTTTATTAATTGTTTTATAAAAATTTTTTTTTAAAAAAGATATACTGTTAGATCACATGGAATGTATAAAATTTGTAGATTTTGGAGCAGCCAAAATCCTAGCAAAAAATCAAAGGACAATGGGTAAAAAAACTACGGCTCAAAAAACAAACATTAACAGTTTAACTGGTACACCAATGTATATGGTTTGTAATTAGTTTATATATGTATTTGTTTATCATCTGTTCATATAGATTTATTTAAATTATATATAACCTTATTTTTATAGGCACCAGAAATTATAACAGGCGGCGAAAAGGGACGAAAAGGTTCTATGGACATATGGTCTTTAGGTTGTTGTATATTAGAGATGGCTACTGGTAGACGTCCATGGTCTAATTTAGATAATGAGTGGGCTATTATGTATCATGTGGTGACCGGAAACCCACCATTGCCAGATCCTTCACAAATATCAGAATTTGGAATGGATTTTCTAAAGAAATGTTTTATAAGATCACCACAACAACGCCCTACGGCTAAAGAATTAATTAAACATCCTTGGATAGCTGATATGTTTGAAACTAGTGATGTAAATAGGTCCAATGGTTCACAAATTGTTAATAATTGCAACAGCCATAACAATCAACGTCGTCGCCGCGCTAATAACAACAATTTTACTACATCAAATTCAACTGCGTTAAAACATCATCATGCACTATAATATTTAAAATAGAAATACTGATGATTCTTGAGCCTGATCTTTATCACAAACATAGCTTGTCAATACTATTTACTTTTAATAGTTGCATGTATCCAATTGATCAAAGCTCTGAGCCATTCTCTTGATATTGATTATGAAATCATGAAAGTGGTGTCTTCAAAGATAAGTAACTTGAGAATCATTTTTTACAATAATAATTAATATTGCTATAATTAATAAAAACAAATAATCGTTATATACGTGTGTGTGTAATTTTGAAGTGTATATGATAATAATGTCTAATCCCAAGGTTATTGCTTTTATATATAAATAATAATAAATAGGGATGTTAAATTGGTTGAAAACCATGTTAATCCGGGTTTGTAATAAGATTAATATACAACCGCAAAAAATTAACTATTCCTAAACAATGATAATAAAAAATTAAAAACTATATTAATTATAACATACTTACTTCATAATCTATCCAGCTTTTTAAGCATAAAGCAGCACGAGCTGCACTAGGATGAAGGCTACACTTGTGGGCGAAACTTTCGTCAACTTAGAAAAACGACAAACTAATGCTAATGTCGAGTCATGTGTGGTTCCACAAAAAAATAGTTTATAAAATAGGAATTACCTAATAAAAATCAGCAATTTCGGATGTGAATTATTATTAGTAACTAGAATTTTTGATGTTGAATTTTCTACCTGTTTTCTAAGAATAATTAAATATGGCCGTGTAACAATTCTTTCTGATCGTACACCGCCAGAATATATCATAATTAATATATCATAAAAAAGTGGAACAAGATAATAATCTTTAAATCTAATTAATTATATATTTTGGTTGATAAAAAAACAAACTTAGCTTTTTTGTTGTTATTTAGTCCTTTCCTTCTGTGAATATCTGCATCCATTAAATATTCATGATAATTATCCAATACATTTGATGTTGTTGATATAACAAACAATTGCATCACCCAAGTAGTAATAATACCAAGGCCATGCAAAAATAAAATTTTTTAATAATGCATGTCTACCAGTAGTTCACAAGAATAAATAAATAGGGAGGGTTTTCCTTCCCAACAATAAACCTGATGTTATCACAGGTGTCAGATTTAATTAAATTTTCCTTACCACAAAAAATGGTACCGCCTCCATACTTGCATAAAATTTTTACTACAAGTGAAGGCTCCTCAATGTTTGAAGGTTTTTTTATAAGGTCAACAAAAACTTTCCCTTATTTTCCCCTCGGACCAGGCTTTATTGTTGCCGTATGGACATTGATCACTGATGAAGATCCGCATTTGTGAGATTATTGCTTTGTGTTATACTCCTCTAGAATAAAGTCAGTGTCTGCAACGGGTTGCTGTTTTGGTTTTTCCCAGAATTTAGGCACACCAACGTTGGTCAAATGAAAATTAAAGAGCCTTCTCTGGTTTGGGTGCTGTGAGGGAAGATTAGTGAAAACATCGTTGACTATTGGTCGATGAACGGAACTCTGTTTGCATCGTTCTATCCCTTTGAGAGTATCTCGGTGAGATTAGCCTTGTGTAAATGAGGAACGTGAGAATGACTGTAGTGTCCAAGACAGTGTGCGTGCTTTAACGCCTGGGGTAAGATATATCGGGGGTAAGATATGTCAAGGTTAAGGTATGACCCTAAGCTCATACCTTAACCCTCACATATCTTACCCCCAACATATCTGGTAATCAAACCTTGTCCTTGTATCTTAACCCTGACATATCACCTCCGATATATCTGGTAATCAAACCTTGTCCTTGTATACTCGAAATGTTTCTTTTTCAACGGTGTGCTGCCTTGAAATGTAAATATATATTTATAATAATATTATTACTGATTACGAAAAGCAAATATCAATTATTTACCATCTTGATGAGGATATTATAATTACCTAGAAAAGATATGCTCCATTTCAATTAAAATACTTGTATAAATAAAAGATATATCAATGCAAATTAAAAAAAAGTACTTCTGGTCAGTTATTAACACGTCTTCAGGCAATTACCAAACAACAACATGTCATTGTTAAAAAATAAATTGTTTACCAAAAAAAAAAAAACCAATCCCAATAATGAAAAATTAATTGCAACAAACGATTATTTAGAAGTCAGAGAATAATTTGTTGCAGCCGGATTATTTTTTTTAGACTTACTAGCAAAAGTTACAAGGGTTTAAAATTTCACTATTTGTAAAAAATATATACAGTCCATACATGATGGCGAAATAGTTTTGTTTCGACAATAATTTCGACTATTAGGGTTCAAACATTTCGAATATACCCTAACAGGTTTCGAAAAAATCAAAATTCGAAATCAAAATCGAAATTCGAAACCAAAATCGAAATTTGTAATCAAAATTCGAAATTTGTAATCAAAATTCGAAATTCGAAACTTTTTTCATTTTTGCATTAATCATACATGATGGCTAAATAGTTTTGTTTCGACAATAATTTCGACGATTAGGGTTCAAACATTTCGAATATACCCTAACAGGTTTCGAAAAATCAAAATTCGAAATCAAAATCGAAAATCGAAATCAAAATTCGAAATTAATAAATAACTTTTTTTCATTTTTGCATTAATGTCTTTAAAGTGCTTTTATTTCAATTTTTGAATTTCGATTTTGATTTTGAATTTCGATTTTGAATTTAGATTTTGATTTTAATTTCGCCAAGGGTATTTCGATTTCGAAAACTTGTGATTTTTTCGAAAGTTTCGAATTTTATCAAATGACTTTCGTCATCATGTATGATGCAGTCGAACCCTCGTTTCAACGGATTTTTGGTTTTACCCCTTGATTTTATTAATTGTAATTATAATCAAAAAATTCTCGTTTCAACGGATTTTATATTTAAATCGCGTTTCAACGGACAACGGATTTTTTGGTAAGATTTTAGTATTAATATTAGTAATATTAATATAATAAGTACTAATCGCGTTACAACGGATTCACGTGATATAGATTTTATAAAAAAAAAACACATTACTATGTTAAGATATAAACAAATCGAATAATTCTCATGAATAATTCTCACATTACTATTACTAAATAATGATATTAATCAAAATTTTCCATATTTCTAAATAATGATTTTACACGAATAATTAAACACACATTACTAAATAATAATATTCATCAATGATGATCAACTATCAACAAGTGAAAAATCATTACAACTAAAACAGAGTGAAGAGCATCATATAAGCTTAGAAGAAAGAAAATTGAAGATCAAAGAGTATGAATTAGATCTTAAAATGAAAGAACTCAAATACAAAAAGAAATTAAACAAACTAGAGTTGGCTCCAGGAAATGATAAATGATTTTTTTTTAATCAATTTATTATTATGAATAAATTTTTTTATATAAACTAAAATAAAAGACCATTTCATCTGAATATATACAATGTAAATAATCCTATATAAATCTTATTACAGTCTGCCCTTGTTTCAACGAAGTGGCTGGGCATATAAGAAAATTTTATTCAACATTCGTTGAAACAAGGTTACTAATCGCGTTTCAACGAATTTTTATATGTTTTCATAATGTGTAACAATGTTTTTAAAAATTCGTTGTATCAAAAATTTAATTATACTTCATTGAAACAAGGTTCGTTGGAACAAGGGTTCACTGTAGTAAACATTTATGTTGATGTTAAATTTGATATGATTACTGTGCAAATTCTTTGAGTCAATTATATATCTGTTATTATAAATTTTGTTAGTATAATACAGTACAATGGTTCTGGTACATTTTTTAATCATACCAGCATTTTATTGAATTGTACCAACTAAATTTGGACTGTTATATCAATCATACCATAACAACATAAAATACTATTCAAATAATAATTTTATAATTTTATCTAATATTTGAGTAGTATAAAAAGACTCATTATTTTTATCTATTCATGCTAACACTAAAAAAATTCAATTTATTCAGGATGCTGGAAAAGGATGGGAGACGGACAAGTGTGGCTTGAACCCATCCCCCGTCCTTTTCACGTTTGGCCCTTTAATACTAGAAAAGGATGGGCAATGGTACGGGTGTTTTTCAAAATAATTAAAAAAGGACGGGCAATTATGAGGGATGGGTGTGGTGCAGGTCAAGGCACAGCAACCCATTTCCCATCCTTTTCTATTATTCATTGGGGAAATCTTGAAAAGGACGGGTGAAAAAGGGACAGGTTGCTGCGTCATTACTGCCCATCCCATGTCCTTTTATATTATTTATGGGCAAATCTTGAAAAGGACAGGCAAACAAAGGATGGGTTACTGTGCCATTACCACTTTGTCCCGCTGTTTTTTTTATTATTAATGGGCGAACACAGGTGAAAGCTGTTTGTCATAAATATAATATCCCATATCCATTTATTCCTTATTTAAAATCTTGATTTTTATTTTTATTTATAATCTTTTGGTTTGAGACAAAATTGTATAAAATAAAATCATTGAAAATATAGATTCAGATATTGATTGTTGCCACCACTATAAATAGAAGGGGAATAACCTTTTTAATACAAAGCTTTAATTGTTAAATTTTAATACTAATCAAAAATGAATGCCACATTTTTTTAATTAATGAATGCAAGATCATAAATAATGCCATGTTTATTTAATAATAAATGCATTGTTATTTGGTACTAATCAAGATTGTCAAATAACAAATGCCAATGCAACATTTATTAATAATGGATTTATTACTGAATTTATGGCTAGTTCATTTTAATATATTATAGAACAAATTTGAATTGGCA